CCATTGGTCTATATGTCTGTTCTTGTGCCAGTACCAGGCAGTTTGAGAACAGTGGCTTTGTAATACAACTTGATATCTGGTATTGAGATCCCTCCTACTTTGTTCTTTTTTCTCAGGATTGCTGCAGCTATTTGGGGTCTTTTTTTATTCCAGATGAATTTTTCGAGAGTTCATTCTAGGTCTGTGAAGTATGCCATTGGTATTTTAATGGGAAGTGCATTGAATCTGTAGATTGCTTTGGGTAGTATGGACATTTTGATGATGTTGATTCTACCAATCCATGAACACAGTATGTTCTTCCATCTGTTTATGTCTTCCTCTATCTCTTTTTTCAATGTCCTGTAGTTTTCTGGGTAGAGGTCTTTTACCTCTTTGGTTAAGTTTATTCCTAATTTCTTATTAAGACCTTTTTTCCTAACACACCTATTTAGTGCTATAATTTTCCCTCTAGGAAATGTGTTAGCTATATTCCACAACTTGATATGTATTATGTTTTCACTTTCACTCAGTTTAAAATATTTTCTAATTTCTTTTCAGACTTACTCTTGAGCAATGGAATATTTAAAAGTGTTATTTATTTTCCAATATTTCGAAGATTTTTCCATGTATCTTTTATTGATTTTTTAAAATTTATTTTTTATTTCTCAATTACAGTAATATTACTCTGTATCAATTTCAGATGTACATATACTTTACAGAGTTGTCCCCTGTTTCTAGCACCCACCTGGCCCCATATATAGTTACCACATTATTGACTATATTTACTATGCTGTAATCTACTTCCCTGTGATTTTTCATTTAACTCCATTGTAGTCCAAGAACATACTTTGTATGACTTGAATAATTTAACTTTATTGAGACTTGTTATATGACCCATATATGGCCTATCCTGATAAATGTGCAATGTGTATACTATGTAAGAATGTTTTCTGTTGTTGGATTGAGTTTGTATAGATGTCAAATATATAAAATTTACTATTTGTTGTTCAAACTTCTATATTCTACTTATTTTCTATCTCCTTGGTCTATCAATTACTGGGGTGTTAACATGCTGTATGTTTTCCCTATCTTTTATGTTTAACCTATTTGTATTTTGATATTTAAAGTGGTTTTTCTATAAACAGCATATGGTTGTGTTTTTATAATTTTTTCCATTTTACCAATCTCAGCCTTTAATTGTATTGCTGTGAGACCATTGACTTCAATAAGGTTATTGATATGGTTCTGTTAAAACCATATTGCGCTCTCACAGCCAGTTGGCCTGGAGGTCAAATCCCCCTAGTATTAACCACAACAATCAAGGCTTAACTACAACAAGACTGCGCACAAAGACCACTAGGGGGGACACCAAGAAAGCATAAAAAATGTGGAGACAAAGAAACAGGACAAAACTGTCAGTGGAGGATATTGAGTTCAGAACCACACTTTTAAGGTCTCTCAAGAACTGTCTAGAAGCCGCCGGTAAATTAGTGAGATCCTCAAGAAATCTAATGAGACCCTCGATGTTATGGTAAAGAACCAAATAGAAATTAAGCATACACCGACTGAAATAACGAATATTATACAGACTCCCAATAGCAGACCAGAGGAGCGCAAGAATCAAGGCAAAGATTTGAAATGCAAAGAAGCAAAAAACACCCAACCAGAAAAGCAAAATGAAAAAAGAATCCGAAAATACGAAGATAGCGTAAGGAGCCTCTGGGACAGCTTCAAGCGTACCAACATCAGAATTATAGGGGTACCAGAAGATGAGAGAGAGCAAGATATTGAAAACCTATTTGAAGAAATAATGACAGAAAACTTCCCCCACCTGGTGAAAGAAATAGACTTACAAGTCCAGGAAGCACAGAGAACCCCAAACAAAAGGAATCCAAAGAGGACCACACCAAGACACATCATCATTAAAATGCCAAAGGCAAAAGACAAAGAGAGAATCTTAAAAGCAGCAAGAGAAAGAAACTCAGTTAACTACAAGGGAATACCCATACGACTGTCAGCTGATTTCTCAACAGAAACTTTGCAGGCCAGAAGGGAGTGGCAAGAAATATTCAAAGTGATGAATGCCAAGAACCTACAACCAAGATTACTTTATCCAGCAAAGCTATCATTCAGAATTGAAGGTCAGGTAAAGAGCTTCACAGATAAGGAAAAGCTAAAGGAGTTCATCACCACCAAACCAGGATTATATGAAAAGCTGAAAGGTATCCTTTAAGAAGAGGAAGAAGAAGAAAAAGGTAAACTTACTAATTATGAACAACAAATATGCATCTATCAACAAGTGAATCTAAGAATCAAGTGAATAAATAATCTGATGAACAGAATGAACTGGGGATTATAATAGAATCAGGGACATAGAAAGGGAATGGACTCACTATTCTTGGGGGGGGGGGGGAAGGGAGTGGGAGATGTGGGAAGAGACTGGACAAAAATTGTGCACCTAGGGATGAGGACAGTGGGGGGGTAAGGGCAGAGGGTGGGGTGGGAACTGGGTGGAGGGGAGCTATGGGGGGAAAAAAGAGGAACAAATGTAATAATCTGAACAATAAAGATTTAATAAAATAAAAGAAAAAGAAAAAAAAATAAAAGACAATGTCAAAAACAAAACAAAACAACCATATTGCTATTTTTATTTGTCCCAACACTGCCTGTTATCCAATGTCTGGACACTATTGTTTCATATATATTGCCCAGTTTTTTAGTTGTTAATGTGGGAGGGTAAATCCACTCACTGTTACTTCATATTGCTTGAAGTAAAAATCTTCCATGTTTTGTTTTTCATACTGATTTATAATTTATATAATGGATATTAGCCTTGTCCCTATGTGTGTATCACATATGTGCTTCCAGTTCATCACTACTCTTTTAATTATATTTATGTATTTTTTCCGAAAATTTTTTTAAATTTTGATGTAAAATCATCCATTCTTTTCCTTTGGGCTTTTATGTCATACCTTCCCTATACTTTCCTCTAAATAATCATGTTTTAAAAGAAGAAAATGGGTGAACCTTATTTTTAACATCAAGTTTATTAATTATACTAATACATGCACATGGTAAAAACATTAAGTAGACAGAGGGCTATAGATAAAAATGAAAAGTTCCATTTCTCTTCTACTGCCCTTGCAAAATTCCTCTTGCCAGAAGTTAACTCCTGTTAGCAATTCTGGTATATATATTTCCATACATATTCTGGACACATACATACATGTGCATATTTATCCTTTTGCACACAAACGAGATTCACAACACAGTTCAGCACTTTTTCATTTAACATTATATTTTGAGTTCTTAATGTGACTGAGTTTTATCAGATATTTAGCAGACTGACAGAGGGACCAGGATAATCAGAGAACATGGGGTAGAAGTACACAGGAAAAGGCATATTCATTTCTGTAAGGCCAACACTTAGCACAAAACCTGGCACATAATAAATGCGTAATAATAAGTGTTAAACAACTAAAGGGAGAGAACAACTTGAGAAAACTGGAAAGTGCCATTTTGACTATTCTTCTCATGCCAGACCTGGTCTTAAGAGTTACCATCTCCCAGCGCAGGAGGAAACAACACACAATGATGAACACATGGAGCAGCTGGACCTCTCTTAATAACTTCCCACTGGGTGTCTCTTCTCCCACTAGAATCACCACTCCTAGAAGACACATTTAGTTGAAATGCACAGTTCATACTGACTACACAGCAAAAATCTGGAAGCTCAGACTACCATCTGAGTTATATTATGGGTACACACTCATACAAACACCTACCATTAATTGGTACCCACCATAGTGTAAGCATCGTGTTGGAAACAACAACACTGCAAGCTTAATGTCAATCTATCCCCATTTTATAGATGAGTAAACTGAGGCTCCAAGAATACAAATGACTTATTCAGGGTCACGCAGCTCATCAAGGAGCTTCTAGGGACAATTGTATATCTTAATCATTTAATCAAGTAAATAATCAAGTAAGCCTTTTTCCTGTCAATCCCATACCACATTCTCTCGTATTTCATGGACTCTGCTATTTTCCTAGCCTGGCATTTCTTTTCTCCACTTCTCTTATCTCGTGGTTTGTGGAAGCTAGGCGGAAATAGAAACATGGGGTGTGCAGGATCCATGGTATGCTATGCAATATACTGTCAGAGATGAGGAGTGAGTCAGCCATAGGAGTCCATGAACAAGAACAAACATATGAGGAGGTGTTAAACATTCAGAAAGGGGGTTGCTTCCCACATGGCCCCAGTTGGGGCCAAGGATCAAACCTGCAACTCAGAACTAGAATGTGACACAATGAAACAAGAGAATATTCGACTACAGAATATTGTTGAGAACCAGAAGTACTCAGTTGCAGACATTGAGGGAATAAATCATGAAATAAATGAATTGCAGCAGACCATTAATAAATTAACCAAGGACCTGGAGATGAGCAGCAGCAGTTGGGGAATAAGGAGTTAAAAGGAATAAGAGGCAAAGAAGCTCGAAACACAATTAGCAGCGGCTTATCACAATTTGGCTAGAAAATTAAAAATTATCCCTAAGGGTGCTGAGAATTCCAAAGGTTATGACTTTGAAATTAAGTTTTATCCTGAAGCTGGTGCCAACTGCCTTGTCAAATACAGAGCTCAAGTTTATGTACCACTCAAGGAACTCTTGAACCAAACTGAAGAAGATAGTAATAAAGCTCTACATTAAAAAAAAAAAAATGGGGTTAGATGATACTTTAGAACAATTAAATACAATGATAATGGAAAGCAGGAAGTGTAAGAACTCTGAAAGAAGAAATTCAAAAGCTGGATGATCTTTACCAACAAAAGTGTAGGAAGCGCCCTAACCGGTTTTGCTCAGTGGATAGAGCATCGGCCTGTGGACTCAAGGGTCTCAGGTTCGATTCCGGTCAAGGGCATGTACCTTGGTTGCGGGCACATCCCCAGTGGGGAGTGTGCAGGAGGCAGCTGATCGATGTTTCTCTCTCATCGATGTTTCTAACTCTCTATCCCTCTCCCTTCCTCTCTGTAAAAAATCAATAAAATATATATTTTTTTAAAAAGTATAGGAAGCCGGGGAAGGGGGCAACAAATGTGTCAATGAGTTGGAGTCCTTGGAGAAACACAAGCACATGCTGGAGAGTGCTGTTAATGAGGGCCTCCGTGAAACTATGAATGAATTATATTCTATTCAATGGGAATACCAGCTAGTTGTACAAACCACAACTGAAGAAAGACAAAAGTGGGAAATAACTTAGAGTGTCTTTTAGTGATGGTTGCCACACATGTAGGCTCTGTGGAGAGATACCTTGAGGAGCAGATTGCTAAAGTTGACAGAGAGTATGAAGAGGAAGTGTCTGAAGATCTCTTGGAAAATATTAGAGAGATTGGAGAAAAGTATAAGAAGAAAGCTGCTCTAATTAAATCTTCTGATGAATGAAGATAAAAATGTTGATTTTCTAAGCAAGAACTTTATTAACATTGTAAATTTTGAAATGTCCTTTGTAGGTTTGAAAAATATCTTACATATCCTATACCCATTCTTACAATGAAGTCTCATGACCACATCTTCCCATACCTTTGAAAATATTTTGTAGCTTTTATAAATCTAGTTCATTAACTTAAAGTGTGTATAACCTGAAATTATGATAATTTGTTGGTTTGTTGTTTTTAGATGTACCAGTTATATTATGCACCCAGAGTTATTAAAATGTTATCAGTAAAAAAAAAAATTCAGAAAGGGGCTTAATCCGGGGAACTGCAGAGCACCCTCAGGAGCCTAGGATATGGATACTGTGGAAGCTCAAAAAAATCTAATACAAACATGTCTCTCTCCCTAGGTGCTTTTGGTGAGCTGTTCACAAACACAGCCCTGTTGCCTGTAGTCTTATAGCCACTGATCAGTTAATCTCTCTCCCTTTCTCAATCCTACTCAGTCTCAAGGCCCACACCATGTCTCATCTCCATGACATCTTTCCCAAGTAATCCAACGCATTCCTCTTTTGTGAATTACAGTTTTACTTAAAATCAGCATCATAAAATATAACATGTGTTTGCATACTCTCTTGTCCTGTAATCCTTTGAAGGGTCTTGTTTCTTTAAGAGGACTCATTTGCATGTTTTCCCCCATTATTTCCCTGTCTGATCTGGGTATTGGGAAACCTGGCTGGATTCCAGTCCCAACTCTCCCACTAATGAGCTATGTGACCTAAAGATAGTCACAACCTCCCTGAGCCTCATCTTCCAACCTTCCAGGGTTTTTGTGAAAACAAAGTAAATATTGTAAGACAATATATGAATTATTTATGAAGATATATGAACTAAGGTGCTTCTGCCTTTTCCACCCTACTTAGTGGATGTTTATATGTAAGAAATAGTAATCACTGATGCTTATTTCACACTAGTATTTTCTAAAGGTTAACATGTTTAGAACAAGAATAGTGCACAACTGTTAAAAATGGTGCCAGATGGAGAGGGTCTATATCAGCCGTGGGCAAACTACGGCCCGCGGGCCGGATCCGGCCTGTTTGAAATGAATAAAACTATTGGAAAAAAAAGACCATACCCTTTTATGTAATGATGTTTACTTTGAATTTATATTAGTTCACACAAACACTCCATCCATGCTTTTGTTCTGGCCCTCCGGTCCAGTTTAAGAACCCATTGTGGCCCTCGAGTCAAAAAGTTTGCCCACCCCTGGTCTATACGCATCTGATTTGAGGGTTCTCCTTGAAAACGACCAGGTAATTCCAGGCTTGTTGACTTTTAAAGCTTCCATGTTTCTGAATGTTTCTTCATGAAAATGATCCATATCAATGCTATGAAAAATGAAAAGAATCTTGTGTCAAGTCAAGCCAACAGATGCCTTCAGCAGTTTTCCTATTTTCAAGGATAAGATTCCCATTCTCACTTGCTCCCTGGCACCACTCCAGTTACTTCACTCACTTGGCTATCAATCTCCTCCCTCAGCCTCAGATCCTTCCTTGGGTCTCAAAAGAGAAAATGCTTAACTTCCTTTTTGGATTCTCACTCCTGTCCCTCCCAGCCTTTGTCCAAGGCCCTGATCCATTATTCCATGCTCCTGTATCTGTAACCTCTCCCTCTCTACAGGTTCCTTTCTCTCAGCCTACAAATTTGTCTATGCTAAAACAAGGCAAGAAAGAAAAATAATAACTCTCTCCTTCCTACTGTCTGCTAACTCCCCCCAGCTACAACCCCACATCTCCTCTTTTTCACAAAATTTTTTAAAAAGTAGTCTCTGTTTAATCTCTTATCTCTTCAAATCACTGCAATCTGGTTTCCAGCCCCTTATACCACTAAAACAGCCCTCAATACAGTCACCTATAGCCTCCTAATTGTTAAATCTCATGGATATTTTCCAGTACTCATCCATTTGGGCCTCTCTGCTGCCTTTGATATTGTTGGGCACTTCTTCCCTGAAACTCACTCTTCCCATAGTTTCCAGGACACCTTTCTTTCCTGGTTTTCTCCATGGGTTTTCCTTTCCATACCCACCTCTTAAAGATGATATTGCCCAGGACTAATTCCTAAGATGTCCCTCAGGGGTCCTCTTTTCTCTTTCCCTAAAGATATCATCCATTTTCATGGTTTTAGTTATCTCCAGGGCACATTCCCATAGCCAATTGTCTACCTACTAGAAAATGTCCACCAGTGTCGTACAAGCACTTCAAACTCTACATGTGTCCCTAATTAAAACTCAATGACTACAAAAGAAGGTATAAGCTTTTTCAGGCAATTGATGAGGTACAGTTTTTAGTTCTTAATGGATAGAAGTTAATCTTTATCTAACAAAAGGAAATGAGTAGCCCTGCTAGTTTTACAAGGCCATGGAAATGTAACAAGACCTTCAGAATTTTTTAGTGACTTAGCAAAAGCTGCCTTATCTTCTGATTTGTAGAACTCTGCTACTGAGGAAGAGGTGGGGCAATATGCTTACAAAGCTCAGATGTCTTCTTGGAGTTAAGAGACCAGTTACTTTCAACCTTTTCTTTCCAAATTTAGAATCAGGAATATATATCAGGGTGAGCTAGGGAGCTTTATCCTGGGTGCCTGGGAAAGGCACCAAGACCCCTCAAATAAAATGATCTTGAAGAAAGAGGGCTTAAGAGGAGTTCCTGACTCACCTCAGGGGCCTATATATTTGTGGGCAAGGGCAAGTTTTACACATATATACACTTGTGGCTGATTCAAGAGGTTCCTCTGGACCCAGCCACCTTGACACATGCAGTACTTTAGAGAAAGATGGATGGAAGTCTGGATGTGGACAAAGTTATCTGTAATCTCAGAGCCCACGTATAATGGCACTGCAGGGCTCACAGGATTCAGACCATCCAGGACATCACTATTCAGTCACCAAGCTTCTGTGAGACTGGGTAAGATCAGCTCTCAAAATCAGCCCCATACAGCAGTGAGAAACAGGAGCAGCAGTGGACTGATTCTACAACCAGCTTTGGAAGCAAAAGTGTCTCCATCCTGGGACCAATTTTGAAAAGGTGAGGAAAGGCCCCAAAATGTACTACTACTATAGTATGTGAAAGAGAATGATTACCAAATTTGCACAAGAACTGGCATATAGATCAATGGAATAGAATATAGAGCCCAGAAATCGGCCCGAACCAATATGCTCAATTAATATTTGACAAAGGAGGCAAGAACATACAATGGAGCCAAGATAGTCTCGTCAATAAATGGTGTTGGGAAAATTGGACAGATATATGCAAGAAAATGAAACTAGATCACCAACTTACACCATACACAAAAATAAATTCAAAATGGATAAAGGACTTAAATGTACGACAGGAAACCATAAAAATTCTAGAAGAATCCAAAGGCAACAAAATCTCAGACATATGCCGAAGCAATTTCTTCACTGATACAGCTCCTAGGGCACTTGAAACTAAAGAGAAAATGAACAAATGTGACTACATCAAAATAAAAAGCTTCTGCACAGCAAAAGAAACCATCAACAAAACAACAAGAAAGCCTACTGCATGGGAAAACATATTTGCCAATGTCATATCTGATAAGGGCCTAATCTCCAAAATTTATAGGGAACTCATACAACTTAACAAAAGGAATAAAAAAATCCAATCAAAAAATGGGCAAAGGATCTAGACACCTTTCAAAAGAGAACATTCAGAAAGCCAAGAGACATATGAAAACATGCTCAAAGTCACTAATCATCCGAGAGATGCAAATCAATTTGACAATGAGGTACCATCTCACACCTGTCAGACTTGCTATCATCAACAAATCAACAAATGACATGTGCTGGAGAGGATGTGGAGAAAAAGGAACCCTTCTGCACTGCTGGTGGGAATGCAGACTGGTGCAGCCACTATGGAAGACAGTATGGAGCTTCCTCAAAAAACTAAAAATGGAACTCCCATTTTATCTGTGATCCCACTTGTAGGAATATATCCCAGGAAACCAGAAATACCAATCAGAAAGGATATATGCACCCATATGCTCAAAGCAGCACAATTCACCATAGATAAGATCTGGAAACAGCCTAAGTGTCCATCAGTAGATGAATGGATTAGAAAACTGTGGTACATCTACATGATGGAATACTATGCTGCTGTAAAAAAAGAAGGAACTCTTACCATTTGCAATGGCATGGATGGAACTGGAGAGCATTATGCTAAGTGAAATAAGCCAGTCAATGAAGGAAAGATACCACATGATCTCACTCATTCATGGATAATAAAGACCATTATAAACTTATGAACTAAATTAGATACAGAGGGAGAGCTGCCTCAAACAGACTGTCAAACTGCAACTGGAAGGCCGGGGAGGGGAGGGGGGAAGAAGGGGGCGTAAGAGATCAACTGAAGGACTTATATGCATGCATATAAGCATAACCAATGGACATAAGACACTGGGGGGTAGGGGAGGCCAGGGGATTATCAAGGGCGGGGGGAAAAAAGGAGACATATGTAATACCCGTTGTAATACTTTAAGCAATAAAAAAAAGAATAAAAATGACAACAAACAGTACTTATCAATAATACATTAAAAGTAAATAGATTAAATGCACCAATCCAAAGGGATAGGGTAGCTGAATGGATATGAAAACATGTCACATGTATTTGCTGTCTGCAAGAGACCCACCTCAGAACAAAGGATTCACACAGACTGAGAATGAAGGGATAGAAAAAATAATTTCAGGCAAATGGAAATGAGAAAAAAGCTGGGGTAGAAATACTTATATCTGACAAAATAGAGCTCAAAGTAAAGGCCATAAGAGATAAGGAAGGCCACTACATAATACTAAAGGGAGCAATTCAACAAGAAGGTATAACTCTGGTAAACATATATGCACCCAATACAGGAGCACCCAAGTACATAAAACAACTTCTGAAAGATATCAAGGGAGAGATCGATAGCAATACAGTCATAGTAGGGGACTTTAATACCCCACTGAAGCCACTGGATAAATCCTCTAAACAAAAAATCAGCAAAGAAACAGCAATCCTAAATGACTCACTAGATAAAATGGACTTAATTGACATCTTCAGAACATTTCACCCCAAAGCTACAGAATATACATTCTTCCCCAGTGCACATGGGACATTTTCAAAGACAGATCACATATTAGGACAGGGGCAAAGACTCTTCAAATTCAAGAGGATAGAAATCATAACAAGTATCTTCTCAGATCACAATGGCATAAAACTAGAAACCAACTACAATAAAAACAATGAAAAAAAAATCAAACAATTGGAGGCTAAATAGCATGCTATTATACAATGATTGCACTACCAAAGAAATCAAAGAAGAAATAAGAAGCATGCTGGAAACAAATGACAATGAAAACCCAACAATCCAAACTCTATGGGACACAATGAAAGCAGTCCTAAGAGGGAAGTTCATAGCTCTACAGGCCTACCTCAAAAAATAAGAAAAACTGGTAATAAATTATCTAACCTTGCAACTTAAAGAATTAGAAAGAGAGCAACAAGAAAAGCCCACAGTATCCAGAAGGAAGGAAATAATAAAGATCAGAGCAGAAATAAATGACATAGAGACAAAAAGATATATAAAAGATAAATGAAACCAAGAGATGGTTCTTTGAAAGGATAAACAAGATTGGTGAACCTCTCGCCAGGCTCACCAAGAAACCAAGAGAGAGAACCCAAATAAACAACATAAGAAATGAAAGAGGTGAAGTAACAACCGACCCTACTGATATACAAAGGATTGTAAAAAAATACTATGAAGAACTCTACTCCAAAAAATTGGACAACCTCAGCAAAATGGACACATTCCTAGAAAAATACAAGCTTCTGAAACTCAATCAGGAAGAATAAAAAAAAAAAAACCGAATAGGCCAATAACTACTGATGAAATTAAAAAAGTAATCAAAAAGTTTCCAGCAAACAAAAGCCCTGGACCAGATGGCTTCACAGGGGAGTTTTACCGAACATTCAAGGAAGAACTAAAACCAATCCTTCTCAGGCTATTCCAAAAAATTCAAGAGGTAGGCACACTTCCAAGCTAATTCTATGAAGCCAGCGTTACCCTAATCCCAAAACCTGATAGACGCCAAAGAAAGAGAATTACAGGCCAATGTCCCTGATGAACATAGATGCTAAAATCCTCAACAAAATTCTAGCAAACCGGATCCAGCAGTACATTAGAAAAATTATACACCATCACCAAGTGGGATTTGTTCCAGGGATGCAAGGCTGGTACAATATCTGCAAATCAATAAATGGGATGCATCACATAAATTGAGAGACAAAAATCACAGAATCATATCAATTGATGCAGAAAAGGCATTTGACAATGTCAA